TATGAAGGACTGACTGTGTGCCAGGCATTGTTTTAAGTCAGTGGTTCTCCCTTTAACACAGTTCCTCATGTTGTGGTGACCGCCAACCATAAAATTATTATTATTATTTTTAAAATATATTTTATTGATTTTTTACAGAGAGGAAGGGAGAGAGATAGAGAGTTAGAAACATCGATGAGAGAGAAACATTGATCAGCTGCCTCCTGCACATCTCCTACTGGGGATGTGCCCGCAACCCAGGTACAAGCCCTTGACCGGAATCGAACCTGGGACCTTTCAGTCCGCAGGCCGACGCTCTATCCACTGAGCCAAACCAGTTTCGGCCATAAAATTATTTTTGTTGCTACTTCATAACTGTAATTTTGCTACGGTTATGAATCATAACGTAAATATCTGATATGCAGGATGTATTTTCAAACGACCCCCGTGAAAGGGTCGTTTGATGCCCAAAGAGGTCGCGACCCACAGGTTGAGAACCGCTGTTTTATGGGCTTTCATGGATAAACTGCTTTATTCCTCTCAATGACAACACTAGGAGGTGGGTGCTGTTATTATGACCTCCTTTCCCAGGGAACACCACTGAGGGCAATTTGCTGGAGTAACTGAACGAGAACACACATATGGAATTGTAGAGCGGCTGTTTGACCCCAGACGGCATGTCTTCATCACCACCACCACCATCATCATTATCATGACCAACATCTCTTTTTCTGCCAGGCCCCTGCCCTTCAGGAACCTGGACCCCTACTCCCCGACTGAGCCCAAACCGGGCCTCCTGCCTTCCTTGGACTGTGTCCTTACCTGTTATGACTCAATGTTGCCACTGAACAAACTTGTGAGATGCAGGGACTGCCTTCCATTTGCAGATAAAGAGGATCAGAGAGGAAAAGCAACCTGCTGGGAGCGTCACCCACTAGGTGGCAAAATCTAGCCTTGGACACCCCACCCCCTCACACCACCTTCTCCAAGGGGCTGGAACGTACTTCAGTGTCAGCTTCCGAATGGTGTCCCCCTGGAGTCCTGTAAGCAGCGGCCTTGCTCAGCACAAGGCTGGGCACATAGCAGGTGCCCCAGAAATAGCATTCTGTCCTTGGACCCTTAGCCACTGGAGATGGCTCCACCCCCCAGTTTTGGCCAAGTGGTTCAACTTTGAGGATGCAAGTTGTGAGCAGGGACTCCCCTGCCCTGGCCCCTGGTCTCATCTTTGTCCCTGTCTCTTGGCCCATCCCATGTCCCGTCCCGTATCCCTCTTTCCTCCCTTCCACTACCTTGAGCCTCACCCATAGCTTCCTGGGCCAGGATGTCCGACCGCCTCTGTTGGACTTTTTCGCAGTTGCTGATGATTGTTTCACCCAAGTCCAGGCCGCAAAGTTTCACTTCCTCGGATTCTTCCTGGGCTTCGGCTTCCAGGCACAGCCCCCCGACCAGCACCCACATGGCCAGCAGCAGCGGCAGTGGGTGCTTGGCCATGCTGGACAGGGAGACCTGGGACGCGAGAGTGGGCAGAGCAAGGCAGGTTCCCAGTGGTCAGTGCCTCTGCTGCTTCCTGGCCCCCTATTTATACACACAGCCCCGCCCCTCTACACAGAGACACACACACACACACACACACACACACATCTGTTGTGGAGGAACAAGTGACCTCCTTTATCTCTTCCAGCAGAGGCAAGGCGACCATGGCCTGCACACCCCGACCTTTCCCGTTTCCTGGACTAAGTAAGCGATAACCTTTCTCCGGGGATGGGGTGACACAGTTTGGCTCATTGTCATCTTCAACGGAGAGAGGCAAGAAGGCCGCCCTCCATTCAGCAGGGACCAGGAACCTAGACCTTCACTAGAGCAGGAGACAGGGGGCAGCTGAGAGGGTTAACTTGAAACACAGGCAGATAGGGCCGGGGTCCCATGGAAAACAAAGGCAGGGGGAACATAGGAAAGGGCAGACACGGACGTCTGAGCCGGCCTCATCACAGAAACCAACCAAGCAGAAATAATAAAATGTTTCTAGACTCAAAGCGGGAGGCACGGGGAAACAAGGGAGGGCCTGCAGCAACAAGACATAGGAACACATAGAAACAGGGAAAGTTCAGGTCCCTTGCTGGGCAAGAACCATTGAGGGAATTAATCAGGGGACAACACAGATAGATATCGAAGCAGGTTTGGAGCTCATTCTTCTGCGTCATGAGACAGGACCCTGGGAAAAACCCTCGGTTCACGCCTCCTCTTCCCCTGGGGAAAACCCTCCGTTCAGGGTTCCAGTTATCAGCTTTGGGGGCTCGTCCAGGATCCTGGATCTCCACATCAACCGGTTAGCCTACAGACCCTATCGCTTCTTTTGATCTTTCCTTGGTAATTTTGGAGGCATTGCCGGGTGCCCACCAGCCACTTAATCAGGCAGCCGTCTCCACAGGGCATTTTTCTCTTTCACTTTCCAAATGTGCTTTCCAGCCTTTGGGCCATTTAAAAGTGGGCATGGGTCAGAACTGGTTGTCGGACCGGGTTAGAAAGCCATAGGCTTCCTTCCAGTTGCAGCACGAAGTCTGACCAATGACTAAATCGGGGCATGGGTTCCTACCAAGGCTCCGAAGATCAAAGAGGCAAATTGCTCCCTCTGTTTCGAGACTCTCGAATGTCCTAGGTGAGTAAGGACCTCACAGAGGGGTCTGGGTTGAACCCTAAGACGTGCAGGGGCCTCATAGGAACTCCAGAATACACCTGTAATGAAACTCTGATCCGTCCAGGGAGGACACATAAGAGCTGGTCACTCAGTGCTCAGGTCCTCAGGGCTGTGTTAGTCAGCTGGGGAGAGAAACGGAGACCCATGAAAGGAGGGAAATGACCAGAGGCTTAACTGCCTCTGGGAGTTCCCTCCACACACAGCACACTCGAGCCCATTACATACAGCCCAACCCTGGCCTGTTCTCTTGTGAGGATTTCCATTGCTGGAGATCCGCTCCAACTTTCCTGCCTTTTCCCTCCTCCTGCCCGAGATTGGGGGTAGAGGGATGATAAGTTCTTTGGATCCTGGCCCAGGCTGGGTGACCCCCCGTTCTTGGTGACCCCTACCTCAGATGGACCCAGACATGCGTGAGCAGAAGATCCCCTCATCCCATCAATGCCTCCTTGCACCTGGCACCCACACACCTGATTTCTTCCAGCTCCTTGCAGTGGCCTTGTGGGGATCAGAGCGTCTTCAATAGAATGTTAGGGGAGCCAAGGAGGGAAAGCCCTTGCCTGCGGGGCACAGCTTACATATCCTGGTGTTCACACCACATCATGTGCTGGCGAGCATTTGAAGCTGGATGGGGAGGTAGATCAGGGCATTTTCCATACGTTAGGGCAGTAGAGCACCAGACAGAATGGAGGAGGACTGATTAGTTCAGATTTTTCAACAGTGCTCGAGGCCCTTCAGCATGTTATAGAGTGCTCCCTGTAGTGCCTAGGACCTTTAATCAAAGAGGCAAATTGCTCCCTCTATTTGAGAATCTCAAATGTCCTTATGTGAGCAAATACATGGTCAAAAACTCTGGTCTGGCCATCTTTTTTTTTTTTAATAAAGTTTTATTTTATTTTATTTTTTTAATATATTTTATTGATTTTTTACAGAGAGGAAGTGAGAGAGATAGAGAGTCAGAAACATCGACGAGAGAGAAACATCGATCAGCTGCCTCCTGCACATCTCCCACTGGGGATGTGGCCGCAACCCAGGCACACGCCCCTGACCGGAATCGAACCTGGGACCTTTCAGTCCACAGGCTGACGCTCTATCCACTGAGCCAAACCGGTTTCGGCTGGTCTGGCCATCTTTAAAAGCACATGTTTCTGGGAAAAACTTAGCCACATGTGCAGATCAAATTAACTCATTACAGCTTTGATTGCTAGATCGCCTGCTTTTACTTTTGTTGCAAAGAATCTGTAAAGTGGATTTGGAGCTGCTTTCATGTCTTCTGCTTTGTTAAGAATAAAATATGTTCATAAAAGTCAATCTAAGGAATTCTGGTTATATGCTTTCCTTGGTTAATGAGGATTGAGGCTTCTAAGACTTATTAATTGAAAATTATATGATTTTGGTAATAAAAGGCATTATGCATAGAGATACATTTTGAAAACTAGTTATTTCTAAAATTTGTAAAAGCATTTATAGAAATTATAAAAGGTTTATAAGGAAAAATGTTAAAAGGGAATTAAAACAAAGCCAAACAGTGTGGGCAGTTTGCAGCCAGGTTGTAACTAACAAAACATTATCCTCCCCCGCCAAAGACGCAAAGCAAATAGTTGAAAAAGGAAAAAGAAAAAAACCTCCTTACAGAAAGGGCGGGGAGGGAGAGGAAAGGTTAAAAAAAAAGGGGTGGGGACCATTTTACTCCCTAGGCAGTTTCAAGGCTTGGCAAGATAAAGTTGTCAGATGCTTCTCATGATTTCTGAAAAGACTACAACAATATAACAGAGAATCTTAAGTACTGATCTGTACCAGAATATTCAACAGAGCAGTTTTAAGACCTACAGACAGGAGGGTGTGTGATGCCTTGGACCCCCACCCAGCCTGCTCTTTGGATTGGCTGGGGGCCCGCCTATGCTTCATGAGCCAGATGTATAGGTTACATAGAAACACCAATGACGACAGATTGGCTGCCTCCTGTATGCCCCCTCCTGTGGATTGGGCCTGCAACCCAGGAATGTGCCCTTGACCGGAATTGAACCTGGGACCCTTCAATCCGTCTCCAGACTTACACTCTATCCACTGAGCCAAACCAGCCAGGGCCAATTACTGTTTTTTTTAAAATTAATTAAATCTTTATTGTTTAGATTATTACATTGGTTCCTCTTTTTTCCCACCATAACTCCCCTCCACCCAGTTCCCACCCCACCCTCCGCCCTCACTCCCCACCCACTGTCCTCATCCATAGGTGCACGATTATTGTCCAATCTCTTCCCGCACCCCCCACACCCCTTTCCCCCCAAGAATAGTCAGTCCATTCCCTTTCTATATCCCTGATTCTATTACAATCACCAGTTCATACTGTTCATCAGATTATTTATTCACTTGATTTTTAGATTCACTTGTTGATAGATATGTATTTGTTGTTCATAATTTGTATCTTTACCTTTTTCTTCTTCCTCTTCTTAAAGGATACCTTTCAGCATTTCATTTAATACTGGTTTGGTGGTGATGAACCCCTTTAGCTTTTCCTTATCTGTGAAGCTCTTTATCTGACCTTCACTTCTGAATGATAGCTTTGCTGGATAAAGTAATCTTGGTTGTAGGTTCTTGGTATTCATCACTTTGAATATTTCTTGCCACTCCTTTCTGGCCTGCAAAGTTTCTGTTGAGAAATCAGCTGACAGTCGTATGGGTACTCCCTTGTAGGTAACTGACTTTCTTTCTCTTGCTGCTTTTAGGATACTTTCTTTGTCTTTTGCTCTTGGCATTGTAATTATGATGTGTCTTGGTGTGGTCCTCTTTGGATTCTTTTTGTTTGGGGTTCTATGTGCTTCCTGGACTTGGAAGTCTATTTCTTTCACCAGGTAGGGGAAGTTTTCTGTCATGATTTCTTCAAATAGGTTTTCAATATCTTGTTCTCTCTCTTCTTCTGGCACCCCTATAATTCAGATGTTGGTAAGCTTGAAGCTGTCCCAGAGGTTCCTTACACTATCTTCGTGTTTTTGGACTCTTTTTTCATTTTGCTTTTCCGGTTGTGTGTTTTTTGCTTCTTCGTATTTCAAATCTTTGACTTGATTCTTGTGATCCTCTGGTCTGCTGTTGGGAGTCTGTATAATATTCTTTATTTCAGTCAGTGTATGCTTAATTTCTAGTTGGTCCTTTATCACAACATCGAGGGTCTCATTAGATTTCTTGTAGATCTCATTAAGTTTATCGGCAGTTTCTAGAAAATTCTTCAAAAACCTTAAAAGTGTGGTTTTGAACTCTATATCCAGTCATTTGCTTTCCTCCATTTCTGTCATTTGTGTCCTGTTTCTTTGTCTCCGCATTTTTTATGCTTCCCTGTGTTGATAAAGTGGTTTTCTGTGTTGAGTGTCCTCTAGGGCCCAGTGGTTCAGCCTCCCCAATTACCTGAGGAGGACACTCTTGGTGCACCCCCTTGTGGGCTTTGTGCACAGTCTTGTTGTAGTTAAGCCTTGATTGTTGTAGTTATCACTGGGAGGATTTGACCTCCAGGCCAATTGGCTGTGAGAATCAGCTGTGTCTGCAGTGGGAGAACTTCTGTGCTGGAGACACCCCTCTGGGGAAAGACTTGCTTCAGTGGGGCTTTGGTGCTCACTGAGTCTGCCCCCTGAGTGTGTCCCTTATGGTTCCATGGAGCTGCAAACTGGATGGTCCCACTCTGACCTCTGGGTTTCCTGGCTCCTGGATCTCTAGGGAGGTGCTAATCTAGCCTCTGCCTGAGGCTATCCAGCAAAAGCCTCCCTGCAGGGCTTGGGCGGGGCTGGTTCCACGGGATCAACAGGGCGGG